TGTTCCTCCCATGAGAGTGACTGCACTGGGCTGTTCCCAACATGACCCCATGACACTTCATATAAATGGAAGATATTAGTACTTTTAATTTGCATCTGGATATCCAAATAAAGATTAGTTCTTCATGGTTTTAGACCAGTGTTCTTATATGGACTATGTTGTTTAGCAGCACCGCCTAAATAATGGGATAGTAAATTCTGCTCTCTCCACACATAGTTCACTCTCTATGCATGCAACTACAGCTACACAATGCCTGATTTTATAAGGAAAAGGGTCTCAGAAGGTTTATTCACGCAGTTTACCAGAGAATTTTGGAGCTTGCCAATTGATTTCAAAACTCCCTTTGCAGCATTCATTGAAACTGTGAAAGTGTGAAAACTCAGGATGAGGAGATCCCTCTCAGCCCCACCAGGGGTTCTCAGCAAGGGGCACCTCCATCCTGTGGGGTGTGTCACACAGAAAGGGGGACACAGCGTGCAGGTGTGAGTCTGCTTTCATGGGAAATGCTGCCTTTTCTGTTTGTAGGTTCTGTTTCCCTGTACTGCTTGCCGTCAGTACAGTGGGCAATGTGGCACCTGTTCGTGTCTCTTAGCAATGCAGGACACTGGATAAATGCTTGTACAAAGGCTTTTTGGATATCTAGTTCATGTGTCTTCTCTAAGGGCTGAAGTCTTTGGTGGCTGTGAGGGCAGGGTATGGATCTGGAGAGGTTCCAGAAGGGCAGGGAGGCCCATCCCATCCTCCTTGAGCACCAAGCTCCACTCCAGAACAGAGCTGCTTTGTCTTCTCTTTCCCAGCCTCTCCTATGAATGTTGATTTTACACTTTTTCTTATATCTGTATATATCTGTATATATATCAGTATATCTATTTATCTATTTATCTATATCTATATTGATATATATTTAAAATGTTCATCACTTAGGCTTGCCTTCAGAAGTTAGTTTCCCTTGGTGCAACATATTCCAGTGAGTTGTCTGATAATCAGGACAAGAATGTAATTGGCACATTTCTGCTTCAGGTGGGGCAATTAAGAAAATTTGGTGTTGAGAGCAGACACTGTTTTGACAAAGAAGAGTTGCTAAGACTCTGCCAGTCTGGAGGAAAAAAAAAAAAAAAAGACAGTATTGCTAAATTATGTAACTTCTGAAGAAGAGAGACAAGTCTTTTGTTCACCTAGCTGGTGCTCTAGTCTTAAAGTCAAAAGAGCTGAAGAACAATAATGAAAAAGATCATGTTGAAAATACCTTGTCTCATTCAATTCTCTTGTCTTTCCAACCTGCGTCAAATAAAAATGTTCTTTGATTCTGGACAGATTATCAAACTAAAAGTGTATTAGCAGGCACCAGCTGTGTGGTGTAATTATTTGGCTGAATCTTCTGATGTTGAAAGAGAAAATGTGAGTTAATGGCTCAGATGTTCTCCTGCCTTGTTCTCTAATATGCCCCACCTTGCCCCTGGTGCATCTGCAGAGAGCCGGGATAAAGCAGCAGGAGGGCAGAGTGGGACTTTAGGGACATACAGCACAGAGGGACAGATGACTCCTCATGCTGTAAGAGCTTCATAGCAAAATATTAACCACTCTTTTAATAGTCCCAAGTGAGGAAGAAAGAGCTCAGTTGTATTTCTTTCCAGATGGCTGTAGTGTTGCCACAGTAGTCAGGTAGGGCTGCACTTAGCTGTCTAAAGACAGATGTTTAAAGTAGTTGGAGGTTCCCAAGTGATGAATTTGTGTTTCTTGGATAATTTTCTGAGAGTCCCCCAGCGCTGCCCTTGCCAGGCTGCTGACCCCAGGGCTGGAGCAGGTGGGCAAGGGAGCAAGCTTGGTTTGGATCAACATGGTTTTCTGGGTTTATTGGTTAGCTTATTTGACTTCCTTGAGTTAAATGGTCAATGGAAAAATATGTTGGATTTTTAAATCAGTAATTCTTAGTGGTGGAGAATAACTGAGAGCAGAGAGAGAGGTTCAGTGTATAAAGCAGTGGATGCTGAGGCTTTTCACTATGTAGTTCTGGGCTTCTGTTTGGGACTAGGCTCAGTCTTGTGGTCTGGCCTGACTGCTGCCCTGTGTGCAGGAACCAATTCTGTCTGCAGAGCTGGTCACACCTCCCACTTCCATGAGGGGCTGGAGAACTCTGGTGGGTGTGTGGTTTAATCTGTCCTGGAAGGAGTCTAATTAATGTGCACCAAAACAACTGAGCCAACAGGCAGTAAATAGCAGTGATTGAAAACTTTACTTTCCAACTACAGGATAGACATGAACTAAAATCCTAAAGTGAGAAGGGGCATTTGAAGGTAGTTCTTATCTATCTCCAGTAATTTGAATGCTCTTCAAATTTTGACTGAAGTTATATGAAATTTTAGATAATCTGTTTATCTCCCCATATACTTAGAGATAGATGTTCTTTGGTGAAAAGGAGAGTATGGACACCTCTGGACTTGTTCACCTTTTGAGGCACGCTCTCTGACTGACAGATGCCAAGTGGGCTCTGCAGATGTGCATGAGCAAACCCAGCCTGGCAGAATCACTCAATTATTTTATAATAGGATATTCTGCATAATTGCCAATCTCTCCCCATTCTTTGGTGGCACTTCTTTCTCCAATTAAATGTTTTTTCTCTAGTCATGGAGGATGGAAATTTACCTTAGAAAGGAAAGCTGAAGCTTTGGGGAAGATCTCTGCTCTACCACTGGGACCTTTGGGCAGGAAATTACAGAATAGGATGAGACTGGATATACAATTGCAATAGTTGGCAACCTTTGCTTGTATATATTACAGGGATACCAGAGTAGTGTTTACAAGTATTGAAAAAGCCTAAAGGTTTTGACATACTAGCTCTTGACCTTCAAATATAAGCCTTTAGGAACAGGGTACAGCATGTACACAGGCAGAGCTATTTTAATAATAATTTTCCTTTTTATGCTCTTGCCCACCTTTGCCTCACTTCTCTCGGTGAGAATGACTTTTAGTAAAAATTAGAAAAGCAATAGCTCCTCGGGTACTCTGAACAGTAAGGAAATATCCAAACCCATACAGAGTACTGAGTGGATCAAGTTATTGCATGTGAAATCTTGCGCAAGTGCTACTCGCAGTCTGTTATTCCTGGCAAAAAATATTTTGACAGTTAATAGTGTAAAGGGTGGGCAAACTATAAATCTGATATGAAATTTATTTGTTCTGCTGTACAATTTGGAAAAGAGCCAGTGTATTATTGAAAATGCTGGTATGAAGTTACCATGATACATCCATTTTGACTATGTGTTGTAAATACCTGCTGCTTGGTTAAAAGAACCAAGCACTCGGCAGAGCACCCATAGCTTTCTGTCACAAAAGAGAGGGCATCTGGAAATTCCTGGATAAATTACAAATGAAGAAAGCCAAAGGAAATATTGTAAATAGTTCATTGATGTCAAATTGAGAAGAATCCAATAAAAAATGCACTTCTTGTTCCACATGTTCTGCATCATTACCAAGAGAATGCCAAATATCCGTGTTCAGCAAATACAGAATTCTTGTCATAAGCTTTGTACATCAAACACATGTAAGAACACATTTCTGACCAGGTTAAGAGAGATTAATCAGAACCCTTCTTGCACCGAGATTAGAATTAGACCTGCTTGTTCATTTATTGATTCTCAGGGAGTCTCCCATTTTGTCCCAGACTTTTCAGGTTAGGTACATATCTTCTTTTGTCCGGGGAGAAAAAAGCTCATACCCTGTCTTGGTAAAAAAGCAACTTTGCTGGAAGTATTAAACATAGGCCAAGATACCACTGGAGGTAAATTTTAGTCAGCCTAACTAAAAAATTTTAGGTGTTAGGAAAGAAAGCAATTCCCAGATGGGGGCTTATTTCATTAAGACTGTCTTGTGCACAAGAAAGTAAAGTTGTTTGGGTTTTTTTTGTGCAGTTATCATGACCACAGCCATGAATAGAAGGAAGGGTTCATAAAACATTGTGTTGTAAAACAGGGATGCATTTAAAGGCTTTCCAGTTTTTTTCAATCTTGCAGTATAATAAATTGGGAAAGTAAATGCAGCCCAATGTCTAGTGCAAGGTCCTGATGATGGGATGTCTATGTTTATTCCTGGCTCTGACAATGGCTCTTGTGCTCTTGCATGAGTCATTGCTTTACCTTTGAATGAGATGGCAATGAGAAAAAACAATTTTTTCTACATTTAAAAAATGCAGTGATTTCACAAGGTTTAATTCTGCTTTTAAAATAGGTTCTGAAATATTCTGGTAAAATATTGTGAGGAGATATTGTTTTTCTTCAAAAAAACCCAAACTCTATAAGAATCATACTTGTATTCTAATACAAAAAATTACTCAAATCTTGTTAAAAATCAACATTTCAGCCTTTTAAATGAAACTAACTATTGAATTTTATGTACATTGTACTGTGTTTTGAAAATGCATTTCTTTAGGCCAGATGTTTGTGTAAGCTGCAGATGGGTAAGGACAATGTAAGGAGGATTAAACACTGTTATTAAATACCAGTCTGCAGTTACTAAGAATAATGGCTTGGGTATCACCCTTTTGAATGCTTTAAGCTGTAGTGCAGAGCAGGCAATAATCACTTTAAATGTGTTTTCTAATGTGCTTTCTGCTTGTGATCAGTGCTGGCTGCTGAACCAGGCAGCTCTGTTGTCTGAGTGCAGGGGTGTCCCACGGCTGTGCATTTACACCTGTGTGCTGCACAAACTCCACTTGAATGCAGCTCATCTGCTCCTTTCTTTGCACTGTATATTCTTTGCAGACAAGGTAACAACTTGGTTATAAGAAGTTAGGTAATTGAAAAACCATGTTTGTACTGTGCCTTTTCAAAGACAAAATGTGCTAGAATACACACATCCCAGTATTCTGACTACCACCCCAGGGGGCTCAATTTTATTTCAACTCATATTTATATTTATTCAATTAATATCATATAGTAATAATAATAATAATAATCTTATATTTATTCAATTTCATTTACTCTAACTTGGAGCAAGTGCTGAAACCAAGGAATAGTTTCTATCTTTTTTTATCCTCTCCTTCTTCCCTGTTAATGTTCAAGGACTGGGCTAGAAAACATTCTGATACAAAGACAAAATGGGCCTAAATTAAATTTTAAAAAAATCCACAAGAAAATATACTATGGTAGTGTTATGGTGGTTACTTTCAATGTTTGGAACCTTTCTGAAGACAGCCAGGGAGAGGCTTCCTCAAAGCTCTCCATTGCACAATACTTTCCATATGATGTCTATGACTCTGGAATGGGAAGGACTCATAAATCTTTAACAAATTGAATCCTGCACAGAATTCACAGGACACTTAAGAGAAGCACAAAATCAGAGTAGCTTATAAACCTGACCTAAATAACCAACAGTGAACCTTAAGGTACACAGAAAGTGTCTATGGGTAACAAAGTTGGCAGAAGAGCTTGCAAATGTATTCTAAATACCAATCTATCCTACTTCTTCTAATAACCTTCTGAATCTATCAGCATGGGCCAGGGAAGTCTCTCTTTACAACATATATATTCCAGTAGGATTCTGAATCTTAGTCAAAGTAGTAGGAGCTGAAGACAAAATTGGAAGTGGAAGAAAATTCTGAACTAAAATTGTGGCCTTAAAACAAACTTGTTATACTTTCAGTTTGCTACTGGCAAATGTAATATCATTTGTACCACGTTCTTTCTGTGAAAAGCTAATAAAGGAGAGCTGGAAGTGCCTGTGGCTGGCACTGCCTGTGTGAGAATGACCCCATGCCCAAATTCCAGAGGATACTAAGAGTGGCATGACTTGGCACAGCAATCACTGCCATTTCCTCTGAAGAAGCTGCTACTTCTGTTCTTCTTCTGTTGTGGCTGCTGTGGTTTTTAGGAGGAGTGTTGAGCAGAGCAGAGCCATGTGCAGGCACTGGGCAGAGGTGTGTGCTGCTCCACAGCCCCGCCCTGGGGACAACAGCTGGGACAGGGGACAGCCGTGGCCTGCCGGTCTCCCAGGGGTATGCAGGGACATCCAGGGACATCCTCAGCCTGCCTGTGCAGCTGCATCAGATGGGTGGTCAAGGGAACTGTTCAGTGCCTCTCCCTCATGGCTGAGGATTTAAACTCTAATTTAAATTCGACATTATATTTTAAATGGCCAAATACCTCTGTAGTCGTATAGACCATCCACTTCAGTGCATAACAATATGTTTTATTATTCTTTCAGTAGGACATTAAGCATTTAGAATCAAATGCTGTCTTAAACTCATTGCTGGCTAGAGGTAGTTCCGACATGGCTTCCTAAATTTGGACTACAATGCGAAGAGGAAACTGCAACTTTTTTTTTTTTCATTTGCCTTTGGCAAGGATTGGAGAGGGTAGCTGATGTAAAAGGAACTATATAGAAACAGGAACCTGAGTCTGAAGCAAATGGTGCATTAAAATGACTTCATTATGAGCTGTTGTTAGCCTACCTCTTTCCAGAATATGTCTCCACAATAACATTCCAGTGATTGATAAAGAAAAAATTATGTAGAATCAAAATAAATGCTTGATATGCAGCAATGCAGCAGAAAATGATTGGCAAATGCACTGCACAAATAGTCTGGTGAGAATATTATTTCTGTAAGCTTTGAACAAGCTAATAATTGGGACCATTTTCAACCATGCCTAGGTGAGCCCTTGGTTGTTTTTGAGGTAAGTTATGTTCATCCTTGCACCTTGAAGTCAACCCAAGAAAAATATGTTTTGAATTAGCCAATAATCGAAACACTTAATGATAAAACCTCTCACTGATCATGCTGGTTGTGCAGCTTTGTACAAACATTTATTTTTCCAGTGACTGATGTGTATTGAACGTGGCTGACTGTTCTGCTCTCTTGCTTGCTTTGCTTCTCAAGAGTCTCTTGTTCATCTGTTGTGCAAACACTCTTAAGTATCTCTTCTGATCTGTGCTCCTAAGAGTTGCTGCGACTCCCCAAAGCTCTCCATTGCACACTTGTTGCTCCCTTTATATCTTCTCTGTAACTGTTATGCAACAAGAGAAATTTAATAGTGTGATTGAAGCTGTGCCATCCCATTGCTTTTTTGAAAAGGAGTTACTGAGGTTCGAGAGGGCTCAGGGAGTTAGTGGTGTGACTGTGTTTGGTGCTTTATGTTAGGTGATTGCATATGACTCCAATTGTGGTTGTCATCCTTAAAACTATTTTTAATGATTTACTGAAGTTAAGGGAGACAAAAAATAAGAATGTAGCTGAAGAATCTGACGTATAAAACACAAAATGTGGTTTTGACACATTTTCTGTAAAAAATAATTTCCTTCCAGCAGAGAAAAAAGTAATTTTAAGTAAGGAGAATCACTTGTTTGGTATTAAAAGTAGTACAAATAGTGCATTTGGGGAGGAAAAAAAGAGAAGTTTGTTTACATCGTTTGGAGTTTATTTTTGAAGTTTGATCCTGCTTCCTTTTAGATAAAGCAAGACCTGAATACACCAATAAGAAGTGTAAGGGTGGAAAAATGTCATGATGGTTTTCACTTATAGCTCGCTGTGGGAAGGCCTGGACCCAGCTCTTGGTTTCAAGAAACACTTGTGGAAATGGAAAGCTTTTACCAGCATCAGGCTGCTGAAGACATTGCTCCTATGTGGTCTCTGTAGGATCTGCAGCAGCAGCAGCCGAGCTTTGTGTCTGTAGCTTGCAAGGACCTGGGACTGAGTTTTCCTAGGGGCTGGTGTCTCTTCTGGATGTCTCACCCTGCCTGGTGCTCTTTGTAAACTCTGTCAGGAGTCCTCGCAGCCAAGGCCTGCCCAGGAAGCCTTTGAGGCTGAGGGACCAGCCCTGGTCTGTGCTCCTTCCCGTCGCGTTCGTTCAGTGCCAGCAGCAGCACTGCCAGCTGAGGAGACCTGCCCTGAGGAGACCTGCCCTGAGGAGACCTGCCCTGAGGAGACCTGCCCTGAGCCCGGCTGCTCCTGACATTTCTGCCTTTCTTCCCACCACTGCATGCGTTTCTGAAACACCTCGCTGAAATCAATCCTGCTTATCCTCTGTGTTTTCTCTCCGGCTTGTGGTTGCTTGTGTTTGTAACTCTACAAAATAAGCTGGACATATCCCTTTCACACCGTGGCACTTGGGGAATGGGTGCTGTGTAATTGCACTTTCCGGCTGCAAGGGGGGTCCCTGAAAACAGTTCTTTATCTTTACTCAAGGCTTACTTTCCTGCTGTGGCTTAAATACTGCTGCTATGACAGGAGTGACTTCCACGGTGGCAGCGGGCTGTTTTCGTGCTGGCTGTGTGACACTCCACGGCCCGTGCTGGCAGAGCGGGACTCGTTGTGTGGCAGCAGCCGTGACCAGCCGGGTTCCCGGTGTGGAAAGTGAGGCTGTAGGGCCCTCTGGTGGGAGCAGGGCAGCGTCCCTGCCTGTGTGCCGTGCCTTTGCTCCGGGGCTGCGCTGCCCGGCGCCGCCGCCTTCTGCGTGGGGCTGGAGGCCTTGTGTGACAGCGCGGGCAGCTTCCTCAGCCCTCAAATCTGACTGCTGCCTGCAAGCCTGGAAACCAGACGGGTTTGTATTTATAAACTTCATCCCGCGGCTGCTGACCTCTTTTGCTGACATGCTGTCCCTGATTTTTCAGAGTGCTTTTTTTCTTTACCCTAGTCAAGGATGCCAACTCCTAAACCCGGCCTCTTCGCTCCATTCATCTAGGCCTTGCAGGGTGGCACTTTACCCATATGTGATGGAGTTAAGTCTATGACATGGTCATGCCATGATCTGGGGACCTGCAGCATCCCCTCCTCTCTTCCAGCTTCTGCTCATAGCTCCTCAACCCCTAACCCAGCTGTGCTCCCACCAAGGACGAATGTGGCTCTATGCCTCACCTCCTTGAACATGCCCTCTTCTCTCTGCTACATAGGTCGTGGCTCAGAAAGGCTCTGCCGTGGCTTTCTGGAGGTTTTAAACACTTTCTGCATCTTTGTGCTTGCTTCAAGGAAGGGGAGGCCTCACCTCGGCGTGGAGTGTTCTCCGTGTGTTTACAGGAGCTGGGAGCTGGCTGGGAGCAGTGAAAGATGCTGGATGGGGCCCACAGGGAGGAAGAATTAGGCAGGCTGCTGCTTTCCGTCAGATCTGGGGACAGGAGATGTCAGGTTTTAGCTCCTGAGCATGCCTGAAGAGTCAGTGAGCGGAGCTGGCCCTGGTTTCACTCTGGGCAGGCGGTGGCAGGAGCTGGATGTTGGATCCTTTGTACAGAACCAAATTCAGGCAGCTGATGGAGTGGTGACAAGTAATTCCAGAATCTTTCACCCAAGCTTGCCGAGCTCCCCAGCACAAGACTTTCATGATGATCAACCCAAGGGTATTTGAGTATCTTACTCTGTCTCTTTTAGTCACATCCAGGAGTTCTGGACCTTTTCCTATAGATCAAGATCCATTTCTGACATCAAACACTCTTTGGGGAAGGATGATTCCTGTTTGCTGTTCAGCACTCTGACAGCTGAATGGTATAAGAACAAAGCAAAACAGCAATCAACCTATCTAAAACTCAGGTTAGGAGAAAGATAATTGTCATTGTTATGCTATTTTTATTGCTAAATTGGTAGGTGTTTGCATATTTTCATCTTCTCATCTCAGTCTGTATCTACCTCTCCTGTCACAGCTTTATGACCTCAGGCATCCCATCTATTTAGCAGTAACAGACTCCTAAATTACATTCCAGTAACACATTTTCTTTAATACATACAGTTAAAACTTTATGCTGCAGTTATCTCAAATGTGTAACTTAGTAATACATAAATCAATGAAGAAAATTCTTGGAATTAGTTACATTACTGCAAAATCTAAGAACCAAAAATATTAGTAGTGAGATACTGTGAGTATACTTGGAAAATAAAGCATGTAATTAAACCCCAATTTCAGAATAATTTATATGAGTTTTTATCCTTCTAAGATTACTTTCTGAGCTTCCATTTAAATTTTTTTCTGATGTCCAAATGACTGATTTGGATTAATTTTTCATGCAGAAATAGTCAAACTCATAAATGAGTGTGGGCCAGTGTTGTAGTCAGAACTTTTATTGGTTTAAAGTGTTATAAATGTGTTCTAAAATCTACTTCACCCTAACACAGAGAGTTTGCTGCTTTTTCTAGATAAAGGATTGCCTGAATATTCCCTCCTTGCCACTGTTTTGGGAGGCTGTAGAAGCTAAAGAGATGTCTTTTACAAGAATTGATGAAAATTGTCAAGCCATTGATAATTTGGAGAGGAATGGTTCAAGAGAGGATGTTATTTTTAATAAGAAAATCTGCTGGCTTTGTATGGATTTACAAGGCTTTTAGGAAAAAACCCTGAGTTTTGGCAGAATATGTTATCCTTGCCATGGAATCCATGAAAACAGAAACTTTGAGCATGAGGTTTTATCATTTAAAGTAATGCTGGGTAGGAGTGTGCTGAGAATTCTGAGGGGAATGAAGCCTATAAATGTTCAGAGCACTGAACTGCCCTGTGTGTGCAGCTGATGTGGACCCTGACCCTCACAAACTGGAATTAGGGGCCAAAAGACAGCAAAGGCTTCATCATCTCCATCAAGAAATATGGATCACAAGATCTGGGGCTAGCACAGGACCTCAGTAAAAACCTAGCAATTTTACACCAGAACCTGTTGCTTCCTCTCTGAATTGTCTTGTTTGTGAGATTACCACAAACTAAATTTAAAAAATAAATCTTTAGTTTATTATGTGGTCTGCTAAACATAAAATCTTGGATTCTAAAAAAGTGACATGACTTAGGAGTCAGTGCTATTTGAATTAGCATAAAACTGTAGGAAGAAGGATCAGGCAGTCTATTGCTCTGGGGGCAGTAATTTACAATACTGCAAAATCCTAAATCTCTATAGTTCTCATAGAGTCTTACATTTATTTTGTGTGATGTGTAAGGTATTAGAAGAAGAAACTCAATTTACCTTAATTCCATTCTCTCCCTTCAGGACAAAGGGTGTTTTGAATTCACATAACATTTTAGTCAAAGCACAAAGTGGAAATCAAACAGAATTTAATTTTCAAAGCATCCTTTGAACTGTACACTGAGGTCCTGTGCTAGCTCCATGTCTTGTGATCTGTATCTGTTGCAGAAGGAATTGCACTTACAGAGCTGACAAAATATTTTGTTATTTCTTTCTGCAATAAATTCTTTGTTATGCCTGCTTTACACCTAAAAGGCAATGGCAAAACTTTAAGAGTCCTGTTGGTCTTATTCCACCTTATGCCTTGCTGGCAAAATCCCCAGTTTTCCAGGCTGCTGGTAGTAATTTGTGTGCCCTTTTCAGCCACCCCAAGTGTTTAGAGTTGCATTCCAAATCCATGGTTGTAATGAAGATCCAAGTTTTGGAGCTGTTCCATATATTTGTGTATATTTAGAGCCAGCACAGCAAAGGTTTAAAAGTGTGTCTAAATCAAAATATGGCAAGGCAGCACCACCCTCCAGAGATTCTGGAGCTGTCTCAGAACAAGTGAATGCTGTGCTGGAAGCAGGATAGCCATGGCAGCACAGTGTCTGCCGGGGACACCTTAGCTCTCTTGGGGACATTTATGTTACACGTGTTACAATGCTTTTGGAATCTGGCACATTCCCTGATCATTCCCACTTATTTGCTCAGAGCTAGTCTAGGTACTGCTGTAAAGCCCTGTGGGATGATTTCTGTGGATGTATTCTCCCTCCTACACCCCAAACATAAACTATGTATTATAGGGCTAAAGTGATATTTCTGTCTGATTTTCAGCATTTCACCTTAGAACATGCAATCCTTCACTGTTGAAATTAGTTCATGTTTCAGTGTTGATTTCCACTGGGGAAAAACCAAGGATCCCAGCAGTGTCACTGCAATATTACTTCAAGATACTGGTAGGTAGCTGCAGGCAGTGTGATTTGGAAGAACAAATTTGAGCAGACAGGGGTTAGATCAATATCTGAAGGATGATTATCTCGGTCAGCACAGTATTTTCCATAGCCTAATACAATCCACACAATCTCTAAATATATCACAGACTGTGAAATTTCAATTCCTCTCCTGTCAGCCTGTTCATGTGAAGATGGATGACATGCCTGATGAAGACAAGGGCCTGATCCTGCTGCTGTTGAAGTAACTAATGAATCACTCATTAACTTCAGAGAATCCCCGAAAGAATCAAATTGCTCATTTAAACAGAGGTAGCAAGTTCTTTACAGTTGTAATGGGTTCACAGCAGCTGCATGTACATAGGCCTTCTCTGCAAGGTTTTGGGAATTAAAAAACAGACCGGAAAGAAATGAAGATGATTCTCAGAATGGGAGGCTGCTATTTTAGACAGCCCTTGACTAGGACAGACAGCACAGGAACTCTGTGAAAGCTCTTTATTGCAACACTTTTTTGTGGGGATGTGTGCTCTCAGCTGTATGCACTGCACCCTCTCACCTATGGCCAGGTGTGTGCTCAGAGCAGGGGGGCAGCAAAATATTCATCTGGGATGACATAAAGTTAAAGAATGAGAATAATGGAAAAAATTTGGCTTTCACATTGAGAATTTTCCCTGACACTCAGCTGTGTTTCTGCAGGAAAGGAGACCATCAGGACTGAGGACTCAGACACCCAGGTGTCCAAGGAGATATTTCTCTTGATACAGGTGCAATCCCCCTTTATATATATATATATATATATATATATATATATATTTGTATATAATTATATAATTATAATAAGCCTCTGCCACAAACTCACTGCAGATCTGCCCAGAAGGTTATAGGATAGAACTGTAATCCCAACTCCAGCCACCTCTGTTTTGCCCTCAATATAATCACATACATATACATATGAGCCTCTAACTGTATTTCAGTGAATAAATGTTTTTCCTAAGTGAAAAAATTAGCATGAATATGATAGAGGTTAAACTTTCAGGTATAAATAAGTCTTTTAAAATGCATCTTTTAAATAAAGCTTTAAACCTCTTTTGTATTGCTAACAATTTATTAGGGGAATTTATTCTGACTATTATTAAACCCTTGGTGCCTTAATTATATTTATAATTTAAATCTCAGCTTTTACAGCAGCCTGTTATTTAAAACTTAAAAGAACTACAAACAACTTTGGGTGCCTGTAAGGCTTCAACAGATATTTTCCTTATCATAACAATACAGGCTTTTTTATTTCTCCATTCCAAAATGCTATGAAATATTGCCAAATTTTGCAAAATTTAAAAAGGAGAAAGATGAGCTGAAATCTCAACTGGGAAATACCAGTCACTATTCACCTTTTTGGTATATAATCAAGTGACTAAATAATGGATTTCAGAAAAGTACATCAGATAGGTTGGTCAACTCATTGATGAAAACAGGGAAAAAGGAAGTATTTGAAAAAAAAATATGGGGTAATAGCTACATTCTTTCTTTGTAATTCACACACAGAAATTCCTCAGTCCAGGTCCTGCACTCACAAATTCAGTGGCAATTTTTCCATTTCTTCAGCACAAATAGGATGAAACCTTCTCAGGATCCTCTGAAATCCTAAGATAAGGCTAATGTCAAATAAAAATATTTTAATTCCAATTAGGATTTAGAAATATGCGGAGCATTTTCCAGTGCTGTTTGTTCAGAGAGATAGACTTGCAGCGTGGCTAGCTCTCTTAGGCATCCAGGGCTCAGCCCCAATGCTGGACTCAGTCAGGAAAAGTTGATGCTTCCAATGATTACTGGATGGGTAAAAATTAGAAAGAGGAACTTGAGGTTGGTTGTAGAGGGGTTCAAGGTGGTCCCATGACTTCTAAATAAGAACATTTTCCTTTGCTTCTAGTTAGGAGGGTAAAGTGGAGCTGTCTGGGAACAATTGGGCTGTTAGTTCACTAAAACATGTGTGACCTGCTCTGGGCAAGCTCAGCATATGAAATAACTGGTTTTATTTGGAAAATTGAAACTCACTCTTAAGAGAAGAAATATTGATTTTAAACAAGCTGATGTTGTTTAAGAATGGACTTGGTGCACTGACTAATGAGTTGTCTATTTAGCTGCAGTTTACATTCATTTTACTTTGGTTTTGCAAAAAGATTAAATCAAATTGTCCATATCTCCCACGTTTTGGGTTATGTTCCATGCATGCTGTTATTTCAACAATGACAATTAGGTGATGTCATGTCTGCTTTGTTCTTTGGGCATTCTTCCTCACATCTGGTATTTTGGGAAGAACTTAACATTCACTGAACCAGCAATAGATTGCTCTAACATCTAATTCTTCTTGTACAACTTAAGGCTCTGATCCTATGAAGATTTATTCATATGCTTGCTTTCATGTACAATGGATTAGCCTGCAGAACTTCAAAATGAATAAAGTTATGCTTATGCATAAGTGCTAGAAGGATTTGTGCCTAAATAATGAAACTAAATGCTGGCAGTATATAATTATCTGTAAGATTCAGCTATAAACACAGCAGAATTCATCTCCAAAATAAATGCAGGAAATGGAATAAAATGGAAAAGTCTGTGAGAGTATTTTTACTTTGCCTCATTTACAGCAATTTTGCACTGTTAGTAATAACCAAACTGGTAATCTAAATTGCCTGCTGCTTGTGCTGTAGATGAACTCTGGCACATAATTTGGTTTCTGCATCCATTTAGACACTTAATATTGTGAATGAATGTTAAAAGTGAAAGAGGGATGGAAAAAAGGCTTCTAAATTATTTCAGTGCCCTTTGAAGACCCTAATTTATTATTACCAGCCATCCATTGCTTTAAGAAAATTAGTAGGCATGATTGCCATCATGCACACTATCCACTGCCTTCACGATGACTGCAATATTGCCAGTCTAGATATATTTTGTCACTTACATATCCTCAGTCATCAGGTATTACATCAGTTTGGGTTTATTCAGAGTTGGACAAATTACAGAATTTCAAGTTGGCAGACAATAATAATCATTGCTCGAAAATATCAAATGAGCTGGAACTTTGAAACCAAAAATTGCTCACAGAGGTCCTGTGGTGTGAAAGAAAGTGGAGTTTCTGCTTCTTCTCCAGCTGCCAAGAGAGGAGTGTTGGTTGAATGCAGAGGCTCCAGAGGTCTCCAGATTGACTGTCCTCCAAATTCTCTGGGCAGGATAAAAAACTCCTTGGTTCCTGAATCACCATCTTCTGATTTTAGGGCTGGTATGGTAGGCTGTGAAGCTTTAAAGATCCATAAGTTGATTTTCTTTCCTGGAATAAACCAGCAGAGCTTGTGCAGCTACTTCCAAATTCAGCACCCTGTTTCTGCAATGTGGATGTGGGAAGGTGGAGACCTGTGGCTGGAGCCAGGGCTGGCTGGTTCTCAGGGAGCCGAATTCCCAGCACTGCCTCTCTCATCCTGGAGGCACCGCTGGGGGAGCCATGGCCAGGGGGCTCCAAACCAAGGGGACCCAGGGGGACCCAAGGGGATCCAAGGGCAAACAGTCCTGTGCCGTGGCTCTGGAGTGCAGGGCTGGGAAGATGTACATGCCTGAGTCTCTGCAGCTTCCTGTAGAAGCCTTGAATCCTTGCCTTTCCTTTCTGAAGCCATGCAAGTTGCTGTGGGAGAGATGCCTGAGGCCTACCGAGAGTGTAAGAAACTTGAGGTGTTTCAGTTGAACGATTTCAGTCAGTCCTGAGCTTTTTAAATGAATTTCAACAAAACTTTTCTGATGTGTTCTAGCAAGAGCATGTGATAGAAGGCTAGTGAAGACTCAGAAAACACATTCTAGAGAAAAGAAAATAATATGATTTTTAAAAACCCCACTGTATCAAGTTAGCAAGGGGGAAGTGTTTCTTTTGGTTTTTTTTTTTAAATAGGAACCAGTTACAGACAACAAGGTGCTTCCTAATTAAAGACAACATTCACAAAGACCAAGCATTTCTAATTAATAAACAATATTGAAATTGATAGTTAATGCAAATGTCTTGAAGAAAGAATTTCTAGAATGTATATGATGGTATAAATAGTTTATTTACTTTCTAGAAATTATAGATATTTACAGATATTTTGTATTTCTAAGCACTATTTGACTTTGAATTTTTGAACCAAGGTAAAATTAACCAGAAGAGAGGTATTCATACTTTTCCTCTTGCGTATTTGATAAGAAGAAGCAGGAGAGTTGGTGTGTTTCTCAGGTAAGGTCTCTGAAGTTTTGGGCTCACAGCTCAAGCCCATCAACCCATGGCGTCTCTGAGGCTGCAGGTTCTGTGTGATGGGTCAGCTCAGAGCACAGATGAGGCAGATGTGTGTTCCTCCCTAATCACTCATAACTTATGTCAACCTAATTCATCTAGGTAATCTTCAGTTATCTGAGTTCTCTCTGATTTGATCTTTCTTTAATCTGTCACCAGGTTGGCTGCAGTGGATTACCATGGGTTTGCTGTCTGTTGAGAGCCAGCTGTGCAGGTCAAGCCATACAGATATTGTTTCTTGGTACCTTCTGTTCCTGGCTTTTCCTTTTTACTGAGGTAGAAATACCATTTCCATGACCTTCCTCAGACTATCTAATACATGCATATTTCTTCTTACCCTAGTTGCTAATTGCACTTGTGTTGATTTACATATCTTTGTGTGCTTCTGCTTTGTCCTTGTCTTTAGCTGTTTGAGCTATGCTTTGCTGTTTGGTTCCTCTTTATACTTCAAGTTATTGAGAACCGATTCAGCTGAGTGTCTCTTCTGTTCCATTTTCTTTTTCTGCTTTTGTCTTTGCTTCAGGATACTTCATTCCAATGCTTCCCATTTTCTCTTTCCTTTACAGGTATTCCTATAGAATGTGAACTGCCAGCTTCCTGAATTTATTCTTCCTGATTCTTCCTGAAGAATTTTATCCTCTATATCTTCTACATGAGATCCCCCAACCCTTCCTAGTCGCTCTAATCCCCTGCCTACAACTTTCATGACTTCCCTGCTGGTGAAAAGCAGATCTAAAAGAGCCTGTTTTCCAGATGTGTTTTCTAAAATTTACCCACAACAACTGCTGGGGAATCTGGGGGAGATTCCCTAAACCAAACAGAGATGTATGTGAGTAAACGAATGTCAGGACAGATCACGGTCCATTTTTTTTAATGTATTTATGTATTAAAGGCAGTATTAATTCAAGTTCATCATGTTATTTCCTTATTTAGGAGATAAGGGACTAACTTACCAATTTCCATGACAAGTATACAATTCACTGATAAAATTTTGAAAGCTTTTTTTGACCCTGACTTTTGTAATTCCTTTTGACCACAAGCATCTAGGAATTTTAGGAATTCCCAGCTTAAGAGTAGGAATGACACACATACGTCACTCATATGTGACTCTTCTGGGGGAAGAGTCCCATTAGCACCAAGCCTTGTGTTTTGCATGTCTCTGCTGTAGAGAAAGGAAAAATTTCATCCATCCAGTGCCAGGTTTACTGAAGTGGTCCACTGATCCCCCTGTGTGTCAGTTCAGTGGTTGCAGTCCGTTTCTCATGGGTCAAGTACAATGGATTAGCCTTCAGAACTTCAAAATGAATGAAGTTTTATTCTCTGTGATCTTTTCATGGTCATGCTGCTATGTAAAACGATGTAGAAAACAAAGCATGGTGGTTACCTGCAGTTATCACCTTCTCAGCATTGCTGTCCATCTGGAAGAGAAGGTCAAGGCTTCACCAGGTTAATTATTCTATACTACTCTGCTTTCTTCATTTACATCTGATTAATTTCCATGGCTGCTGGAGGCACTGATTGTCTTGTGCTCAACAGGTCCTTTGAGCTTACACAAGGCACGTTCAATGGAAGGGAGAGCCAAAAGCCATTACGGGGTTGATCCCATGGCTGTTGTCAGTGTTGGAACAAGTCCTATTTGAATATAATTTCTTCTTACCACAAGGACTCACATCTTGGGAACAAATCCAAGTCCTGTCAGACTGTAAGACAATTGACTTTTCTGCTTACACTGTAATTAATGCTATAGAAATCTCAGAGAAGAAAGCAGAGAAAGCACAAAACATTCAAGTTTAGGAATAACCACCTTTCTTTCACTGCTTATCTCAAGGGATGTGAATCCATTAGAAATAAGGTTCTAGATGCCAAAATCAATAAAAATACAGACTTTAAGGTCTAGCCAAATAGTGGTTAAAGTTATTTCTCTGTGGATCGCACTCAGTCATTAATTTTAAGGCTGGACATTCTCCAAACTCTGTGGTTTCTTTGCAACAAGGGGTAAGATCCCAGTGATTAGATGGCTTACATTTCACTATTTTTTCTAACATATCCAGTTGAATGAAAATTAGAATTTCATAATTCTGTTTCTCTCTGATAGAAAAACAGAAGAGAATTGTAAACCTGTTGAAAATGGACACAAGCATTCAAAACAGAACAAAACAGTTTAGATTATATAAATCAGTATATCTTAGAGATTTGCATCATATATATGTGATGTGGTCTTCAAGGATTTTCATCTTTGAAAATGATAGAAAAGAAAGACAGAAAAGAAGATAGAAAAGTGTTGTGGTTAATTGCTTTCAATGTAATTAAATTCACAGGAAATAATTTTATTTCAGTATGGATTGCCAGGAAAAGATGGGTCTTCTGGAGAACATAGGTCAAGCAGGACATTTAAAGCTTGTACTTTCGTATAAAATATTGTGTGATGTGCTTCTTCAGAGACATTTGCATGAAGAACTCATTTTTAAAAAAAATGACAAAACCCCAGCAGAACTCATTAAATAAAAAAATAAAGACAAAAACCCAGCAGAACTGTGTGCTTCCACAGCACAAGTAATCCTTTATGAAAGACTCTCCACAAAATTAAGTCGTATTAGATGCTACTGAAAAGCATAAGGAAGGCTTACAGTTACTTTAATTTCATTTTTTTAATACAGTGAGCCAGTGTATATTATTTATATTGTATTTATTATTATAATTATTTATATTGTAAACTTCAAAAGAATATAGTGAAGAGAAATACAGGTCTCTCTGTTGAGAAGTGTAGCAATTTAATGACAAAATTTAGAGATAATTCTGATATAGGCTTTTATAATCAAATAATAACTGAAGTTATGTTAAACTTATGTTTAAAAGCCTAAGATACCTTGCTCAGAATTTTTTCAAAAATATTTCTTGACTTCTTCTTGCAATATTGTATGAGAAAATGGCTTTTAAGGTAATCTAAAGATTTACTTTAAGGTAAAATGTCTTCAAGAATGCTAAGGTTTTACTCAGTAAATTGATCACTGCAATGCAGGGAGTATCATTATGAGTACCCTTCTTATATGCCTGAACTATTATACCTGTAAACATTTCTTAATATTTGCTGATGGCCACTGTTGTTGAAAGGACATTACATGAAATAGGTCTTGATCTGACCACTGTGGATTTCTGCTCAAGAGACCTTCTGATCCTGCTAAGGTCCGAGTTTAAATTCTCACCCAATTCAGATGAACCCTCAGAAAACACTGGGATGGCTTTTGGGGCATCTGTGCATTTGGGATACACTGAATGCCACAGGCACCACAAGCAATAATAAACAGCATAATCTGTGTTTGCTTGACAAATTTGTGGGATGGTCCTGTTCTCTCCCATTTTAAAGAAAATTCAGGGGTGTCTCCTTTCCTTGCAAAATCATATCTGAGCTCACTGTACAGCTTGCTGTGAATTCCCCAAATACCACTGGGCCAAAACTGGTATGACTGCAGAACCAACCTCCCCTGACCCTGTATCTGCCTGGGCTGTCCTCCTCTTCCCTTGGCCTGTGCCTGGTCAGCAGCTCCATAACGTTTCCATGTTGCAGATATTCCATAGCTGTGCCACTCCGACAGAGGTTGGCTCAGAGCCTTCCCCACTGCCCACATCCCTTCTGCTTCTGAAAAATCACCTTAACTCAGACAGGTTGAGTTGAATTTGGATTCTCATGCTCAGCTCTAAACAGCCAGACTTCAGATGGATTAAGGAAGACCTTTTATTGTACTTCCCTTTATCTCTGGTGGTATTATTTTCTCCATTTTTTTAGCCCCATAGTGATTTAAAAACTGGGGGGAAAAAGTCATAGCTATTATTACATATCACATTATATGCAAAGTATCTTCTTCAAGGAAGTTCAAATACTTCTGTGTAATTGTCAAGTTTTTAAAGAACTGTTACAGCCTGGGAAATAATGGCTGTGTGTTTTTAAATATTTCATTCACTTGATAGTCTAGGAAGTAGTTTTTAGGTAAAATAACTGTATGAAGTTATTTTACTGTTAATATAGACTATAAAATACATTAAAATTAAATTGGACTAAATTATTTTGGGAACAAAAAGAAGAAGTAGACTTTTATTTTCAAGGGAGACCATTACAGACCCCAGCTTGATCCTGTCAGTGTACTGATTTTGAACTTACAGGACCATATGGAACTCCCTATGAGGTGAAGCTACAGGTCATTTGACTAATTTTTTATTTTCATTTTCCAGGTGGATAAACCACAAGGCTTTTATGAAATAGGAAAGTCTTGAACAGCTAATTAGACCAAGGCTTTCCAAAGGAACCAATCATTTAGCTAAGTAATTTGGGAAATATTTGCTCTCCTAGGCTTCAAGAGCTGCAGGTTTTGAGTTCCCCTCTTTCAGGAGCTCCCTTGAAGATATGTGTGAATACCATAAAATTAGTATCAGCCTCTTTGGTTTTGGTTCTAAGTTTGTATATCTCTATTACTGATCAGATTGTAATACCCAGCTGATGCTGAGCCATTTTTTCCAGCACTTACTTTGTGAGCTGGAACAATACGAGTAGAGGATGGAAAGCTGAACAGCTCTGTGATACAGATTCACGCTGGATGATTTATGAGCGATGTGTGGGGTAAGATTTTAGAGAAATATAAATTATACCTGTTCATCATGTTAACTTCTTTTAATGTTTCCCACATGTTACCATGACAACATTCATGGGATATATATTTTAATTTCTGTTGCACAGAGGAAGTGTGTCAGGTCTGCACATTTCTCTTGATTTTATGGCTGAGTGCTGTGTCTAATGCAGGTTGTAAATCTTCTTGGAAAAATATATAAGAGGGTTTTCATCAGAGTGGCTCTCCTGGCAATTCTGAAGCTTTTAATAAGCATAATTTAAATTTAAAAATAACATTTACACCCATGTGATGTGGAGATTTCTAAAGTGGGGGAAGCAAATGCTGTGCAGAAAAGCAGGAGCTTCATGCTAACAATTGCTGAACGTGTTACATAGTTAAACACATTGTTAAAACTCTTACTTCAATAAAACTGTAAAAAATGTCTTGTGGCCAATATTTAATTTCCTGTTTTCCATATAGTGGGTACAGGAGACTTTTAATTTTTTTATTTTTTATTTTTATTTTTATTTCTTGTGCAAAAAATGTATTTAAAAGCTCTTTATAGCTCTCTAAACACATTTTCCATAGGGTTTTCATGACAGTGATATCTTTCTTTAAAAATTAGATGTAAAAACTATATGGAAATTTCTGAACTGGGTTAGACAGTCTCAGTTTCTGCACCACAAGCTGTTGTTCTACATGGCAATTAGTTTGCATATGCATCTGAAACCAGTGCTGAGAAAAGTGACAGTGAATTGTGCTGATAAGTGGTTTAATGGAATTATTCAGCAGGCCAAAACTCATTAATCACAGGGAACAGTCTCCCTGTGATACTTCAGTGTATAGTTAAACAAGAGTCCATTTACTTATTTGCTTTCCAATGTAATTTTTTTTAATCAGAGTGGGAACATTAACTGCAGAGATTCTAGTGAAAAGTAAAATCTACTCCAAATCACGAAGTTAGAACTAAAACATAATTACCCATAAAGAATGAAAACTTTTAGTAATTTCCTGTAATTTCTCTGCCAAATTTAATTTTTGCCTTGCAGTACTGCTATAAAAAAGCATCACTCCCATCTCAAATATACTGAGTGGGACTCCCTGTATGAAGGTGCCATTCTCACTTTTCCTGTTCTAACACACCTATGTTTAAAAAGGAAAGGGTAAAATCAACATCCTGATAGTCTTCTTCTTCCAGCCTATTTTAATATCACTCTCATCTTGTTCTTGTAGTTGCTGTAGCTTTTCCACTTGAACAGCTAATAGTGTAGAATATCCATTTGTTTAGGACAAATGGCTGCAGCTGGTAATTTATATTCATTTATACTATTGGCTGTACTCATATGTTAAGTTTAAGCTTTCATGTTTTTCAGATTCTGAGCTGCCTAGGTGTGTAGTTTTGAGCTTCACATTTAGTGTTAGTGAGCTCTCTTCACAGAGTAGGTAGACAAAACAATTCCTTTTCTAGCTTGATATCAAGGACAATCGTTACAAGTTTCAGGCCCAAAAGCATCAACAATGATGGACTGAAGAGAGAAAACAAGAAGGATGGGACTTCATAATTTGAAGCTGTAATTGGATAATTAAACCCAATATGCAAATAGACCAAAACTTATAAAAGTGTAAGACTTTGTGACTGGTCACCCATTCTGTGGCCATTTTGGGTCCATCTTGGGTGTAGTCCAGGCCAGGCTCTTGTACTGCTCAAAGTGTATCCTTTAATAATCCTTTTAATAAACACCTACTTTATTCTTAATTCTGTCTAGCCTCTGTTCTAGGTCAGCCTTCTCAAGGCATCAGTTCTGCTATAATGGTACACAAGTATTTTGTGTGTGTTTGGTGCCCATGCTGTGCTTCACCTCTGGGCATACTGTTGCAGCTGAGTTCTGTTCAATGATAACTTTATCACTTCTTGTAAAGTTGTGGCATTTTTAAAAAGTGTGTCTCGTTGGAAATTCACCCCCTAGAAATTCCTGACAAATGTAGTTAGAAAATGGCTTTCTGAATCCCCCAGAACAGTCCCCACCTGAGCTTCCACCAGTGGGAAGTGCCGTAGCTTGAAGACAATCTGATGTTTCCCTGCTGCACCAGGAGCAGTGCAGAGGGTCCCCTGGGAAGCATGGGTGAGCTCCCACTCTCCAAGCACCCACTGCTGCTTGGAGAACGGCTGCTGTCAGCAGGAATAACAAATTCTGAGTGCAGCTAACTCACTGCCAAGCTGGGGCAGAGCTTTTATAAACTACAGTGCTTTAATTGTGATTCCTGAAAGTGCAGGCATGCTGCTAAGCTTCCATTTCAGCCTCTGTGACCTGCCTGGGATCTCCTGTTTGACATGGGCTGTTAGGAAAGTCCCTTCCTGGAGTCCACCAGAATACCAGCAGAAACCTGTGGCCTCGTTTCTTCACAATGTCAGCTGCTGGGACATGCTTTCATTGTCCTCTGCAGCAACAGTGTGACAGTATAAATTCCATGGCTTTCCTTTCAGCTTATGCTTTGCCTGTTTGGATTGTTGCAGATGTTCGAAATTCATTCTGGACTTTGAGATGGTTTTCCTTTCATTTGGAAAGTTATACAGGCTTCTTTATGCTGTTCTTCATTTGGTTGTACCAGATAAATTTACACGACAAGATGGGAGAAAACTTTGCCCAGAATTTCACAATTTCTTCATAAGAATATAGACATTAATTTCCTGTGTGATTTTCAGTCCAGGTGTACCAGGCTCACATATGTACATATATAGCTCCTTTGTCTGAAAACCCAGAACCAAATTGCAAGTATATGCCAAAGCACAAAAGGCAGATTTAAGTGGGAGAACTTGAGTCAGTTCTGTTAATCCTGCCTGTAGAGAACTTTTATAGACATAGCTGGAAAGGGAACAATATTTTGTTAGGGTTGTTTCACCACTTGTGTTGTGAGGAAGCACTGGGGATAAGTTTGTACATATATCCTAACAGAGTTCCTCCAAAAAACAGTGGTGCTTTTACCTGTGTTAAATGGTGTAGGAATAAAAACATGAAATGAATGAACATGCTGATGTGCATTTTCCCTGAAGAATATGCAGAAATTGTAAAGGGCTACATTGTAACATATATTTCTGTTTTTTCTAAGGGATCATGCAAACATATGATAGTACTGCTAAGCATTTCTCAGATGTGCTTAGAGCATATCAAACAGCTAACATTTGGCAGAGAAATAGGAACAGGGAGAAGTAAACTGCAGGTTTTTTGTCATATTGTCTATGGTGGAAAGAGAGTTTCTAAAGCATGTAAGAGATTTTGGTAAAACGATTCACTGGAAATCTGTTGTAATAATTCCCTGTCCCTCACTTGCCATGGGTGTGCAAGGAGAGACCTAGAAACTTGCATTGTTGGTATTTCAGAAGGTTCATGTTCCTTTATGGCATGGTGGTAGGGAAACAAAGGCGCAGTCTTAGCAAAGATAATTGCCTTTGTGAGGTTCCATGTATTAGTGTCAAGTGTAGTTTAGCTATCCTAAACAGCTTGTTTAGCTCTCCTGCTTAGCACTGTAGCCACACCAAGCTAAATGCACGTCGCCCTTTCCTGGTTCTGCAGCCCAGACCTAGGTGCCACTGATATTTGTAGAGGAAGCCAGCTGTAAATTCCAGGTAAAAAACTTTCTAAGGCACAGTATGAATATTTTTGTTCAGAACATGCTTAAATTCAAAGAAACAGAAAATGCACTGTATGCATTTGTCTCTGACACTGAAACTTGCATAGAATGTGGGAAAATGAAGGACCTAGTCTACAACTGAGAGCAAATTTAGGCACGGTGAAGAAATACAAAGTAATAAAATCAAAAGTATGGTCCCAAAGCAAAGAGTTCCTTGATTTTATAGACAGGGTATGGATTACTCTAAGAGATGATAGGTAAGTATCCCACAGAGACTGAAGGAAAGTAGAAAATAATGAATTTACTGCAGTGACATTATCTGCCACATACCCATTTCTGGTGGACTCTGATCAGGTTTGCAATTGTGAACAAAAAATGGTACAAAAGTCTGAAGGCTGAGTTTGTGACAAGTAATTAGCATCTTACTGAAGTGCCATGTAAGATGCAAAATGGACTTACCATTGTTTGAAATAATTTTGTGGCTAAGAACATTGTAAAAGTACACAGGAAATGTACGTGCCTCTCAAGGATGTCTTTGACAGTAGTGGTTTTAGGCTTGATGCTGTAATTTTTCAGCTCCATGAGTGAAGCAAATTGATTTGTAATGTGATGCCGTCACCAGAACCATCAACACATTTACACCATACAACTTTTCCCCAGCTGATAGCACTGTAACTTATGGTGGATTTTGGCTGAACTCAACGCAGAAAAGAAGACAAAGGTTGGAAAGCAAATGGAAAGGAGTCCAACATAATGAAAACACATCTGCATCCAAGTTTGGATGCTGAGCAGAAGTATAGGGAGAATAAAAAAAGCCCACGTGTATCTTAACAGTAACTTTGAGGGTTGTGTTCCAGGAGCCTTAGTGTGACTTCTGATTGAAGGAACCTTAGCATTAAGATGTGCATAGGAGTAGCCAAGTAGATTTCATTTTTTTTTCCTGCTAATATTTGTTGGCTTAACTAAGATCTCCCTGAATTTTATCTGTCCCACTTTCACAGCAGAATTGTCCAGTGCCAAGCATCTATGTTGATGTCATAGCTGGGAAACTAATTGTCTAAAACAGTCTCAGTAGATTCAGTTGGTGGGCAAATGTCTTAACTGACCAACAGACATGAAAGAGGTTGTCCATCTGTCCCCTGAATTATGGATTAGGTGTCTCAATGAGACTGCATTGGTAAATCCAAAAGCATTGGTAAATCCGATGCTTTTCCTGTACTTTGAGGTCAAAATCAGGGATTTGGATTTAGATGAATGACTCACTGTTTCTAAAATGCTGAGTTGTGCTTGACACTGATACACTGACCTAGGGTACGCACCCCAGAACTTCTATTCTTTGTTCAACCTTTAGAAGTTTAAATATGCAGATATCATCTAAATTCAGATGATCATCTTAGATATTCAGTCTTGCTTAAGTCATGCTGAAATGCTGCCAAGAGCATCGGGTTCATGCCAAAGAGACTTTGATTCCAATCCTTTCTCCTCAGTTTTGTTCACCTAGCATTAAAAACAAGATAGATGTTACTAAATGTCCAAGTGCTGCTTTCAGCAGTTGGCATTGGGATGGCACTGTTCACCATCTTTGTGGGTGGCATGGACAGTGGGATCCAGGGCACCCACAGCGAGTTTGCCATCGACACCAAGCCACCACCACCTGAGAGGTGAGCCTGTGCAAACTTCATGAAGTTCAAAAAGGCCAAGTGCAAGGTCCTGCACCTGGGCTGGGGCAACCCCAAGTACGAATACAGGCGGGTTAGAGCATGGATTGAGAGCAGCCCTGATGAGAAGGACTTGGAGTGCTGGCAGATTAGAAGCACAGTATGAGCTGGCAGTGTGCTCCTGCAGTCCAGGCAGCCAGACTTGTCCTGGGGTGCATCAAAAGCAGCGTAAACAGCAGGTCAAGGGAGGGTATTCTGCCCCTCTCTCTGCCCTTGTGAGACTCCACCTGCAGTGCTGTGTCCAGATGTGGGGTCCCCAGCACAGGAAGGACCTGCTGGAGTGAGTCCAGAGGAAGTCCTGAGGATGATCAGGGAGCTGGAGCACCTCTCCTATGAGGACAAGCTGAGAAATTTGGGACTGTTCAGCCTGAAGAAGAGAAGGCTCCAGGGACACTTGTGAGCACCTTCCAGTCCCTAAAGAGGCCTACAAGGAAGATGGAGAGGGACTTTCTTCAGGGACATATAGTATTAAGGAGTAATGTCTTCACAATGAAAGTAAGTAGGTTTACATTAGATATTAGGAAGAAATTCTTAACCTTGAGGGTGATGAGTCACTGGAACAAGCTACCCAGAGAAATTGTGGATGTCCCATCCCTCTCAGTGTACAAGACCAGGTTGGATGGGGCTTTTAATAACCTGGTCTAGTGGAAGGTGTCCCTGCTTATGGCAGGGGAATTGGAACTAGGTGGTTCTTAAGGCCCTTTCTAATCCAAACCATTCTATGATAAATAAAATTTCTAAACCAAGTGCTCTGAGGCATCTTGAGATCAATCTTATCTGAGTATTCATGAGATATAGATTTGCTCCACATTTGTGTTCACCTGGAAAAGAAATGGAAAGTCTTTCCTATCTTCTTAATAATTTTGTAGATAGGATTATTTAACAGATTTCTGTAGTAGTCAGAGTTCCTAATATCCTGTGGACATCATTATTTCTGTAAGAGATAGAGGGAGCAAGTCTTTCATGGTGTGGACGTTAATACCAGTGTCTTGTTTAAAGAAAATGGCAAAAATACATGCAGATTTGACTCATAATGAGATGTAAATTCATCCTATTGAATTATTGCATGCTCAGGTCTTTTTCTTTTTTTATTTGAGAAACTCCAGATGGAAGGATGCAGAGTTTGCAATGTTTCTAGTAAACTTGGTCAAGACTGTTCTGGTGTCTGGTGTCAAATTAAATGTCTGACATGACTGATGGTGCTGGTATTGCCAATGTGAAGGTATTAGTGAGCTTGTGAGATGATTTTAGTTTAGTTCATTCCTATGTCATAATTCCTAAATTATACTGACACACCATGGTGAGAGATACCTTAGAAAAATCTCATGAAAGATTCATTTCATGTAGTTCAAACTTTGAGAAAACAAGAAATTATTTTTTCTGACCTGTACACTACAGAATTTTTTTGACACTGTGTATTCAAATTGCCAAATAACTGCACAGATGTATTACTACAAGTCATAATTTCTATTCAAAGGTATCCTGTTTCCTGTCCAAAGCATTGATGCAGAAACATGACTGTGAATGTCAACTAAATCAGATATGACACATATTATTGTCTAGGCAAGTGAGTCAGGCAGCTGTGATACTGTGAACTGATAGGTCCTGCCTCAGGCAGAGGGGAAATGTTGACACACCTGGATAGTCACATTTTATCAAGGACTCAAACCTGCAGTTTCATGCTCAGTTAGAAAATGGCATTTCTCATCTCAAAACTATTTGATTCCTTGGAAGATTAGGACCTGGGCTAGAGCTACATTACATCTGAGATTTAGTATATGCTTCTTTATATTCAGTATCCTTGAAAAAGACAGGCTACCAGGAGTTCAAGGTTATTTTTGACTTTCGGGTCGACAGAGGCAAGCACGAGAAAGTAAGCAATAAAATTGTTATTAGCAAGTACCAACATTTTTGAAACCTAAACCAAACAAATAGCTCCATCTCTGCCTCTGGTCACTATCAGTAGAGAGGATGTAATTGCACTTTTTTATACAGTTCAGATATTATTACTAGCAGACAGTTTATCCAGTCTTCAATTCAATTTTCTGCAGATGAGGAAACATAAATTGGCTTTGTGCAGGGTCAGGTGTGGTCTGCAGGAGGTATATACTGAGGTGCCATGTCATGAAGTGCAGGTGATCTGCCCAGTAATCCTTTATGTCCTGGCACACAGCCAGAGCAGAAAAGGACCACAAGGGAACACCTTCAAGAGACTTCCAGATGGTTCTGCACAGGCAGCTTGGGCCCAGCTTGATTTATTTGCTTTGGCTGTGTGTAGATAAAGCATTCAACTGAACTAGAACACAGTCAAAAGCCTGGAGCACTGGGGAGCACAGTATAGAAACAAATACAGTTCTGCAATATGATTCTCTGTGCATGTTTTTGTAACTGCTGTATGCTTGGTTATTCCATGACTTGGACATCTTGGATCCTTTTATGTATAACATAGAGATAAATATATATGGAAACATGTCAAATATATAAAGAAATGTCTTCTTATTTCCTACTCCTGGTGATGTATTAAGTATTGTCTGGCATTCTTTTCTGTGTATCAAATTCAAGGTTGTAGTAATTTCTTTTTCTTTCTTTAACATTTGTTCCTTTATATTTAATAGCATAATTTTATTTAGATTTTGTCAAGGGTATTCAGAAACTCCTGCTCCAAAGTGCTGTTAAGTTATAAACAAATAACTAAGAGTTTTCAACTCCAGATATAAGCTCTTGATACATTGTGCCTGAAATTGAAGACTGCATTGGCACAGTAGCTGGGGAAATGCGAGCCCACATCTGGGCTATTGCATGAGCATGTTTTTACAGCTCTGAAATAGCCCATTGATTCTGATATTGGAGAGGAATTATAGAGAGCCACTGACTGACACACAGATATGGACACTGTTCTTCACTGTCCCCTGAGAGCATTTCAAAAGTAGAAGACTGTTATTTCAGTTTCTGTGAGTTTGCAATGAATAGGAGTAGTTAGCATCTTCCAGAAAACCTGTCAAATTCTCAGATCGAGCTTGGACAGAACAGGATTTGGGCAGTGTTCCTTCATGGTGTCCCTTGTTCTTTATCCTTTGTATCCAACACCAAGCAAAAAAGATCCATTAGGAGTGAAGTGCTCCCTGGAAAGCAGATTTCACTCCAGTGAGGCAGGATTAAAGGAGATGGTGCAGAGATCTACCCAGCAATAGGAATGTTTTAGTGATGGGTCTGTAACTGCATGACTGAACATGCACTTTATCAATTCAGAGTGACATCAACTCTGATGGGATTTTGTTGGGCCTAGAGGGAAAGTGCTAGGTCTCAAGAAATACTTTCCCACAAAATATTTTCTTAGTTAAGCAATAGGTTCAAAATTAGATTTGAAAGCAATTTTCTCTTTTTATGATATGTGATATGCCTTTTTTTCCCATGAAATTAAATTAATGATCCAAGCCTTGAGAACAACCTGTCCCTAAGAATCAGTTTGGTTAGAGCAAACGCCATTTCAAAATTACTGGGTGGACCACTTCAAAAAAGTGCATTCAGTGTGACTGGTAAAATATTTCAGGCTACTTCTCATGGCAACTCTATAGTTCTTAGAATGGTTTCAATTATACATAATGAGTCATGGCTTGCCTATGGGGAGAATGAAGCTGGCTTCAGACTCCTGAGTATAACAAGGATGAGGGGCTGGGGCCAGCCACTCCTGCCAGGGAGACAGGAGGGTCTAACAGCATTGCTGTTCCTGCTGCTGCTGGGTGGGTGACAGAAATGACAGCAGTGCCTCTGGAGTGTCAGCTGCCTGTATGTGCAGAAACAGCCACCATCCTGCACAGCCCCTGTCTCCTGGTGAGACCCTTACTCTCGTCCTGGTCTGCCAGACCGAGTGACAGAAGGCTCCAAGTGATGAACAAACAGTGCTTGTGAGAGAGTTAGAAATCAAAACTCTGAGTTTAAAGGGTGCTAGCAGTCTACCTGCTCTCCAAGAGGACACTTGGACAAAGAGGTTTGCGTGGGAAATGGATTAAAATAAGAGAGCACTGAGAGTGCCTAACCCTGGTACTTGGTGCTGTATCAGGAGCTGTGCAGAGGAAGCCAGTCAGCCCTGAGTGGCAGACTGGGGTCACAGCCACACAACGAGATTAATGTATTTCCTTGCAGAAAAGTGTTGTGTGGCCATTTCTGTTCATAGGTGGTGAGGACTGTGGCTTTCAGATAACTGAACTTCTATCACATCTTGATGAGATCTGACAGCATTTTGAGGAAAGAGATCTGCTTGCTTCTCTCCATTCTGTGTAACACCAAATATCCTTTTTGATCACCAAAAGCAACCGCTCCTCTGCTATTAAGGACTGACTCTGAAATCTTCAGAACAAGAATTTTTAATGTATGCTCCCAGAGAGAAGAAAAGGAATTGACTATTCAGAATCAGGATCACAGAATTACAGAACAGGCTGTAATTGTTGGAAGTTGGAAGGGACCCATCAGAAAAATGTTGCAGTCCAGTATAATGGCTTTATTAAAATCACATACATACTATCTCATAGGCTACATGATGTTTAAAAATATCCTGTCACTCATAAAGTCTTAAAACTCAAGATTGTTCCATTTACAGGCCTGTTAAGGATTACAAGCCAATATGGCCAATGCATTAATTCACTATGAGGCTTTGCTACAATAATTCATCATTATCAGGCAGAGAAATGGAAAGACAGCATGACATTTAATGACACATAGAGAATGAAATCTGGAAACTGCTGCAACTTTTTACAAGTCAAGTAGAATAAATCATTAATCAAAAAGATAATAAAATGCAAATGATAAATGGTTATGCAAGAAAGAAAACCAGAGGCATCACTACAATATCCTTCACACTTCTATTCTTCTAGCAGAATAACCCCAATCTGACAACTACTGCAGTTAGCAAAACTGCTGTTAGGACTGTTACCATTAAACAGATTTAAAATTACTCAAGTCCTAGGGAGAGGGATCGGTAATGAGACCTTTATTTTTCTTCGTTGACTGATAAATAACAGCAACAAAAAAAGTCCAGGAAGATTTTTGCAGCAAGTATTAGGGATGGGGACCTCTTAGCAGGAGGAAAATGAGCACTGCAGGTCTATGAATCTTGGCTTTGGAAAGGGTTGGAGTTATACTAAAGTGGAAGGCAAGAAGTCCTGGTAGTAGGAGTGCCCTCTCTGTCCCGTAGGAGATATATAGATATACACATATATACACAAATGTATTTTGCTTGTGCCCACACTGGACTGTCCCTCACTGTCTGCCACAGAATCACAGAATATGGTTAGTTGAAAAGGATCATCAAGTTCTACTCCTGGTCTTGTACAGGGCCATCCCCAAGAGACACACCATGTGTCCAAGAATATTGTCCAAACACTTCTTGAACTTTGTCAGGCTTGGTGCTGTGACCACTTCCCTGGGGAACCTGTTCCAGTGCCCAGCCATAACTGTGACTTATTCTTAAAAAGATTGTCTCATTTGTGCTCCCCAGCATAGCCTGGTTTTGCATATAAAATTGTAAGAAATGGGGTTTTCATGAGTCTGCATCACAATCAGGCAGCAGAGTCCGGCCAAAGTCCCTTGCTTGGGTGTACCAACTTAGGTTCATCCAGGAGTAGAATTCTCATGGATGCTGACACATGCAGGGTGGGAAGTGCCCTGTCAGCACACAGATATAATTTTCAGAGGCTGCAGCAAACCACCTTGAGATCAGTCCTTCACAAATTGCCTTGATTCTGTCATGTCATTTTGTGGCAAGAGATACTAGAAAGGCATCTTCTGCAGCCAATGCATTTGTGGCTTTTTGAGCTGCCTTTTGACAAGTGCCAGTGTGTGCCAAGATGAGAGCATAGTGGGTGACTAAACTGGAGAGATTTGAGCCACAAGCAGACAAGTGATATCCAATGCCTTGAGCCCATAATGTATCTTGGAAACTTGTTGAAAAACATTGTAACAATCAAGGCCACGAAGCCTGATTGGAGGTTTGATGAGGGACAGAGAATTTCGAAGCAATATTGAAAGTGCATATGATTTTGAAAGCCCTTAGAAAAATAAGCTGTTACTTAATAAATTATTCACACTCTAATATTCTGAACTCACTGCAAACAGTTTCATCTACACTCGATTCACTTGGGTCAGATGAGTGGTGTGAATACCACTGCATTAGTCTTACTGTGCTTTTATCTAATAGTTGCTTTAGGAAACATAAATAAATATTATTATCAACCTAAACATCAAAGAAAGCGCAATAACTTGCTGTCTGCAGCTGTTTTGTGTGCTTTTGTTTCTGGACTGACAGCAAAAGCTGATTTTTCACACTACTGTTTAGGTGCTTAACCAAATATTTTAATATGGAGGGAGGATTCCTAGGCTGCAGCTGTAGTGCAAATGAGGCAGTGTCAAGAGGGGGAGGATGAGATGGAGGAAGGTTGAGCATGCTGGTACACCTCAGGGAAGCAAGCTGGTACACAGGTAGGCTGATGTGCCTCTCTGATAGCTTGAATTTTGAGAGTTCTTAATGTGCAGTAACTTTGTTAAATCCTGATAGGAGAGATCTGAGTGCAAGTCCTTGATATCCACAACTGGCCAGCACTGACTCTGAATTCATTGTTCATGTGTCTTCACCTGTTCATTTCTTTTCATTGTAAATCTCTGAAAATTCTGCAGGATTTGCCACATCCATCAGAATAACTTCTCACGATTGCTCCTTAGTTGACTCCAGATCCAATATTAATGTTTGCCTCATCTTCTGCAGTAATGCTGGCCACGAGAAAAGGTAATTCCAACAGGGCATGGACCCAGTGTTTCTTTCCAAGGATCCATACAGAATTCTCAAAACTATTTATCTTTTCTTTGTGGAGACACTGTTATTTTTCCCCTTGATATCAAATACACAACACTTTGTGTTGATGTGTCAAATCCATTTGAAATCATAAAATACGGAACCAGGAGAACTCCTCTTATCTGGTATATAACTATATTGCACATAGTTGTAACTTTTTTCGTGTATTATTAGGATAAAGAAGAGTGAGTAGCAAATCCATGGTTCGTCCAGGAGATGTCTCCCTCTTCCTAAAATATGCCCAAACCATTTGTGTTTCCTGGGATTTATCTTGCACGGCAGATGTTGGCTTCCCCAGCCTGCAGTTGTGCAAAAGGCAGTGAGCAGTCCGACCGCTGCGTATGCTGTGCTCTGCTGTGGGCTTTGGCTGCTGTTTCCAGTGCAAACGCCTCATTTTTAGGTCAATGTTTTTGAAAACCATGGGAGCTGAACAAACATTTGTGCTGCAGTCTTGTTTTTTCTCAGGCACTTCAAACTTACATGAAAGGCTAACTTGCTTCATTTCCACAACCAAGCAATTTATTGTACCCTTCTGTCACCAAACAACACACAGGGATATCAGTGGAGTTCAGGGATGCATGTAGCTCATGGGAGCCTGAATGTGTGCCATTGTTCTGCCACAACATGAAGAATATAGTACAAGCACTAAATGTTTCAATATTCTCATTGAAACACTTTACAAGAAATAAAATCCACATTCTTTTATTTTTAACTATTTTCAGTTCTATTGCACAGAATATGCAGAATAACAGATACTCCTATGATTCCAATAAATATTAATTTTGATAATGACATGATAAAAGAACTGAAACTTTCAGAAATTCCTGTTTTTAGCAATACACAGGGCAGCCAAAATATTTGCAGTCATAAATTCTTTGGATCTACTGGTTTTTATTCTTATCACTGTAGTAGCTTTACCTTGTGCTTTATGATAGCAGATGAACCAAACTTCTTTTAAAGAAGAAGTCTTGAGAAGACAGGCACAGGAATCTCTTTTTATCTAAGCAGAAAGAGCTGACAGCCTGGTCAGAAAAATGATTTTATTAACTGGTAATTTTTCATAAGTTGCACTGACTTACTGATGGTCTTCACTGGGAATTAAAGGAATTATAACAGCAATTTTTTTTTCTTATGGTAGAGATAATGAAATATATATGAAATTTTAGTCTGATGAATAAGTCATGTGACTTTCAGATGCTTTAGAGGAAAAATAATTGGATTTATATGAGTATTTACTGGCTACTGTCATTGGAGAATGAAATACTGGCCAGCACATTGGTCCCAGGTGAATCTGTGTACTTGGAGATTGGCTGTGTGGCCAGGTTTGTGAAGACCAAGAAAGGGAAAGGAAATGGGGATGTCTTAGGGGAGTTACTCTGCTTTGGGAGAGAAACAAGCAGCTGAGCATACACATTTCCCCCAAAATTCCTCAAGAAAAGAAAAGGGGTAGCAAGATGGAAAAAAAAAATGAGGATAAAGAGGCAAGGTTGGTCTTTGTCAAAAAAAAAATCAGTGTATTCACATTTGAGTATGAATTTAGTTTGGAGGAACTTCTAGGTGTTATTTGATGTCTCTGGAGGCAGGAGCTGTCCTGTGGCAAGTCTGGAAGCAATATTTCTGCTTGCAAGAGTGGCAGGGCTGAGGAGGAAGAAAGAAGTTTTATATAGGATTCCTAGGCTCAAGACACCAGGTCCAAATGCTGTTCCCTATTGTTTGTTCTTCATTTCATTATTCCCCTTGGGGACTGAGAAGTTCCTTAAAGACTTAACCTGAGTTAACTAAAAGGAGCTGCATGTAAAGTTTCAGAGGTTGGCTCTTAGGATCTTAATGTGCTAAAGAAGAAGATACAATTTCCCCCACACTTTTAAGGAACTCTTTTTAATTCTAACAGCAGAAACTTTCTACTTTGCCTTTAAAATGGCATCAAACAGCAAAAATACTACATGGTAATTAAGAGACCTGCTGAATATTGTGTTTCTTGGACACTGTGAATAAGAGCAGAGTGTCCTGTGTGCTGTGGAAATGTTCCTATTACTCAGCTGGCTGACATGGAAGCTCTCATTTGTTGGTGTTTTTGTTTTTGTATTCTGCTTTGCAGCTGCATTCCCCCCAGGAAGACATGTGGGTGCTTCTGCTGACTCAGTCCTAGCCAGAGTCCCCTGAAAGCGCTGGGGCCACCTGATTCTTGGAGAGCCTGGAAGTAATTTTCAGCCTACTATGTTTCATTTTGAAGTGTAGTCAAAAGGCACAGCCAGATGGAGTGGTGTGTTGTCCTGGAGAAAAGAAAATCTCAAAATGGAACTTTTATTTAAAAAGAAAAAATAAAAAAAAAGAAAAAGAAAAAAGAGTGAGGGAGAGAAAATTAGGAAAGGAGGGGAGATTAAATTTATAACATCCATAGAAAAGCAAGAACTGTATCTCAATGCCAAATGCCAGAGTGATGTGAATCGCTGGAAGGACTGGATTAAAGGCTTGAACTTTTGTGTGGAGTTTTGGGGGTCAAAGATATATTTCTTCATGCCACTCCCCCTGTCAGCCTGAACCATTCTGCCTTTCTACAGGAAGTGCCTTGAAAACTCGGCATTGTCCTTTCCTAAACTACTCTCCCTCTCCTCTAGCACCACACTCAAGCCACAGTCTTGAAACTTCTGCCTTTAGTATGTTAATCAACCTCTTGGATTTGATGGCCAGGACACCCCTTAAGGACCAGTAAGGACACAAGAGTCCAGGCTGTTCTGAATGAATCGTTCTTTGAATACCTATCTGCCCTCACCAAAACCTAGATTTAAAACCATTACACATGTGGTATAATTACACATTACATCAGAAGCCTTGTTATTTTGTAGCAGGTGTTCTCCTTGCTGTTAAAATATATCCATTCTATTTGAAATCTCATCTGTAAGTGGTTTCCAACCTGCCACAAGTAGATGTTTTCATCTTTGTTTCAGAGCTGAAGAAAAGAGTAAGCTGAAAAGGTAGACACTTTTCCTACACCCATGTCAGCTTTTCTGCCTGAGACATTGCCAGTTTCATTTTGTTCAGGAAGAGAGCTCTTTAGAGATGGGGTGGAACCTGAGCTCAAAGGCATGCTGTGACCCCTGAGTGACATGTCCCAGTGCAATGTCACACATAAATACCCCAGACAACTCTGAATTACCTACCAGCCAATTTACCAGGAGCAATATTACTCTACTAACACAGTGCTGCTTCACCTAAGCTCCTGCCCATAGAGTTTCCTCTAGGTAAGCTGATCTTAGAGCCCACTGCCTCCTGGCTGTGCTGTCAGGGGGAGCTGGGCAGGGAGCTGTGTGGAGGGGTGTCTGGGGTGCTGCACACAAGGCAGAGTGCAGAGAGTGGGTGTTGCCTTGGGGCTTGCCAGAAGGAGCAGTCAGGGAAACATCTGGAAAGCAGGAGGACCTGAGGAGCAATAGGGTCTGTTCTAGGACACAGACACTGCTCACACTGCTTACATTGACAGCATTCAGTCTCAAAAAAGGACATCTTTTCAGCACTGCAAAGCCTGCCTAAGTGAATAGTGGGGGGGTGGAGGGGTTAATTTTGTTTTTTTCTCTTGTGTAACTGAATTTTGAACTCATTGTAAATATATGTTTACTAAAGCCTGTCTTCTAAAAGAACAATTTATCCATATTAAACTTCCTCCAGTGGTTAGTCAACAGGTCTAATTTGGCTACATATATTTACAGACACTCTTAATGTTTATCTTACAGAGCTATATGTTTGCAGATCTTATTTTACTGTCTAATAGCACTGGATCTTATCCATCTCTCTCGTCATCTCATTTTTACCCTGAAAAGCTTACTGTATGAATTCCAAATTCCTAATTTCATCCTGATGTAGTCATTGCAATGCTTCTGCTTGGAGAACAATGGGAGAGTGAGTAAAATTTCAGTATGACTCCTGAATGTTTGTATTAGTGACTTCTGTAGTTTTTCCTCACATTTTTATCAGCATGGATTACAAGCCTCTGCATACTTCTTATTCTGTGTTGAAACCTAGACACATGATGAAGTTACCAGATCTAAACAAGTTACTACAGGTCAACTGAGAAGTCACAACTCTTGCATATATAGCACAAATTACTATGAAGTTACGTGATTTAGATAAAAGCTTTTATCAAATTATTTTGTGTATGACAAGCCTGCACATGCACATCTAAGTGGTTTCCTTTGGTGTCATTTGCAATGACCTGTACATCACTGCAAATGGGCAGCACACCTGAGCTCCATCTTTGTGTAAAATGTAAGATTTTCTCAGTTTCTGCACTGGGTCCACTGAGGTGTTTGGCTATAGTCTTTAAATGACAGGAAGGAACCATTAGACAGAAGATTTGCTGTAGCTGTTTTACATGCTGATTGGCAGCCTGCTGTGCAGGTACCCTGTTTCTGGATGCTCTAATAACGATGCATTGGTGGGGTTTTCTTTTACCTGTTTGCTTAGTCTGCCCATACCAGTGGAAACCCTTCAGGAGAAGGGCCCAGAACCTTCTGAGACAAACAGATTGTGAGAAGGAAATTTTCTTAGGGACAGGGAGGGGATTGTGCCACTCTTATCCAAACTAAAATAACATCAAAAAATTATGGGGTGCAGAGCACAGCTGAGTAAAGGTACATGCAGGCACACAGTGAGCAATAAGGGTTGTCTTTCATATTCTTTATTTAACAAATTATCTAGAACTTCTGAATTTTATTAACCAATAATAACCTTACTTCTGAACCTTATTTACCAGTTTAAATTTTCTTTTTGCTAGCAATATCTTACAGTGGACACTGAGAATGTTTGAATCTTCAGTGAGTTAATCTAACACCTTTTCTTCAGCAACATACATTCCTAGTGCAGATATCCCTCTGTGTTCCCTCTGTACTTAAATGAGATTGCACTGCAAATAAAGACACCTTTTGGCACAGGACCTTGACCTTCATTGGAAAGAAGGCAAGAGTTGGTGGAGTGGCTGATGAGCTCCTTGAAGTTTATTGTTTGGCTCCTGAGAGCTGTTTGTTTTGTACTTCCCATGTAGTGGAGGAATGTGATAGCTGAGAAATGGACTCCAAGGATCCCTTAAGCACGTCTGACTGAGCACTTCCCAAATTGACACTTCTGAACCTTCCCTTGCAAAAAGCAGTGGTGGAGCATGAAGGTGTGGAAAGCAGCTTTAAAGGGGAGATGCATACCTCTGGCCTGGAGAAACGGGAAGATGAGGACTGTGCACGGGCACCTGGCCACTAGGGCCTGAGTGATGCTTGGAATTGCACCCTAAGCAGGGTTGCCTGTGCTTCAAATTCATCATTGTGCTGTCATCCTCTGTTACAGTGGCCAGAATGACACCAACACTCCAGCCTGGAAGTGACAAGAACACCTTGTAGCCTGGTGCACAAGGTGAAGGAGGTCCTCATTTCCCTCCTTCTCCCTCTGCATCTGTAATAAAATCTGACTGTAGTAAATAATTATGTGAATTCTGTTTGGAAACTAGTAATGGGGTGAAGGTAGAGTCCACATCACTTCCCTTACTTACTGTGTGCCACTGTTTATCTTGCTGATTTATATTATCAGAAATATAATTTCTCTCATATTTAGTGTTGACCTTTCCATCAAGCCATTCCTTGTTTGAGCACACCAGTTTTATGCCACTGTCAGCTAGCTGACATAAACAGTTTGGCCAATATGAAACTGTTGTAAAGTCACAGAGGATCACGCCATGTCTTATGTGAAGAAAAAGTCCATTTTCCTTGTTTCTCTAGTACTACAAAATTACTATTTCTTCAGAGCAATAGCTAGTTCTATGACCAGCTGTAAACAATTACTAAGCTGCCTGTCTTGATGATTTATAGCTTAGTTATAAAAGGGTGTACTTCTGCCAGACTGCTTGCTAAGCCCAGAGGAAGACCCTGAGTTAATGATGATGATGCTATTTTATCACCTGCTGTGAACTAATTCTAGGAACTAGTCAGATTTTTCTGAGGAAATTGCTTTGCAATGTGAAATCAATAAAGTCAAAACTCTTTTCCTTTTTTCCCCTCTGTGTGTGGGAATAGACCAATATGTAGATGTGATTTTGGGAGAAAAGGTGCTTGTTTTTGGGATGAAATTGCTGGTTCAAACCAGAGATGACTGTAACATAAGGACAATAGGACAGAGCATAGTCCAGTGAAGATAGGACCCTTGGGGAAAATATGAGAAATTGAAGAAAGTTCATGTTTTGAATTTGTTGCTAATTTAAATCCAGTATGAATTCCTTTGTAACCTGCTACTTGGGCAGATATTTATGTTCTCATTAATCACTGTAGAAGATCTTGGTTTTATCACATTGCAGAATGCATGCAATTTTTTATTAAAAATTTCACTAGTTTTTCAAGGGGGTTAAATTACTTCCTATAGAAATGTAATAAGTATCAAGCACCCTGGAGCTTTTGTTTGTGATAGCTGTTTTGTGTGATCATCTGTTATTAATTACAGTATTGTTGGTCAACTGGCTGTTCCAGTGATTAGTGATTGTTACAAAAGTATGTACACTCCCTTAGTACGTGGGTGGTGGTGGCAGTTGTGCTGATATCAATCCTGTCTTTTTCACAGGACAGAGCTTAAGGTCTGGTTTGGTTCCTGCTTTTCTACCAGATCCCCATTCTTTTTACTTTCCTTTTGGAATAGATTGCAGCTTTACACTGACATAGGAATGGATCTTGTGAAGGCATATGGATTTTCACCTCCTATAACAAATGCACAGTGCTCAGAACAATAAGATACATATGCTACATAGACATATCAGGAAAATGTATGTTACATCTTATTAATTGACAATTTTTTGTGTGAATACCCTCTAAAATGTAAAATAACACAGTAGCAAATTAGGTTGCCTCCAAAAGAAAAATTAAGCCTGTCGTTTTTATATTAGATGGTAAATAAAGGTTTTGTGAACCTCATTTCAGAAGGAATTCAACTGTTGGTATGGAATTTCTGTGCTTCTTGTATCATGTTTGTGTACTGTGTTTTCAAATACTTGTGCTTTAAGACTTACATTAGAGAGACTTATGAGTTCTTTCTTTGTTTTGTTTGGTTTTTAATGACACTGGCATTTAAAACTGGTGATTTCTCATGCTGGACAGTGTAACATGAAACCAGAACCACTTCTACTGATGAGAGCTGCCAGTACAATAGACATACAGCTATTAACTGTGAAACTGCTACTGTGATACTACTGCTCTGATTAACAAGGGTGACGGCAAAAAGAAATTTCTGGGAAAGCTTTATGTTCTTCAGA